ACGTTTTATTGAATAGACAGTATTTAAATCTTGCTTTTTTTGACAAAACAAATTTTGATCTACAAAATGTGGCGGTCAAAATCGAGTCGCAGTTTTTGAGCGGGAAAAAAGAACAAAAACAGTTTTGAAAAATCGCAATTCTCGTCATTTTTTCGCCTTTTTCGCACTAATTTTTCTTGAATTTTCCAGCCCCATCATGTCAGAATCCAACCAACTTTCAAGCGATTTCCTGAAAGATTTGAAAAACCGTCGAACGTGCATTTTGTATGAATTCCTTCGAAACAAAAACGAAGAAGAAACACTTATTGAGATGGCAAAAACGGGATTCGAAGTTGAAGATGAAGACGTCAGAAAAGAGGTTTATCTGCTGTTCAGAAGATTCAAAAGAGGACGTCTAGGAGTTGAGATGGAGACATTGTGAGGATTTTTGAGTTTTGAGACTTGTAGAGATTGTTTATTTTCAGGGAGAAGTTGTTGGAGATGGAGCCAGCGGAGAGTTTGAATGATTTGGTTCCAAAAGAGTTTGATTTCAAGGATAAGTGAGTTTTGGCATGAGTTCTCTGGGAGCTACAAAGTCGTGAGCTAAGTTATTCGGTTGCAAGCTTAGTTACACCGTTGCCAGCTCCTCAACATGGTTGTCGGATGAGATATAATTACTGGGTTAGCTGCTTAGTTGCTAACTGAGCTAAATGATCGCCAGCTCGGCTACACTGTTAGCTCAGGTGGTAAGCTCGACTCACAATTTCTGGCTGAGCTACAATGGTACCATCAAAGCTATTTCATTACAAGCTGAGCTACACGGTTGTCAGGTGAGCTACGCCGCTGCTAGCACAGCTACCCGGTTGCAATCTCAGCTACACAGTTAATGGCTGGACTGCCGAGATGTCGGGTGAGCTATATGATTACTAGATCAGCTACAAAGTTGACAGCTGAGCTAGGCGGTCACTGCCTGAGCTATGACGGTTACAGATCAGCTACACAGTTGCCGGCTTAGCTACACGGTTGCTATCTCAGCTACATGACTGTTTGCTGAGCTATGCTGTTGCCAGCTCAGCTACAAGATTGTCAGTTGGAGCTACAAAATTGCTGGCTAAGCTACACGGTCGCGAGCTAAGCTAGATGGTTGCTGGTTGAAGTATACGGTCGTCGGATGAGCCATGTTAATAGTATGATAATGCTAGCTAGGCCAGCTTAGATACACGGTTGCTGGGTGAGCTACACGGTCGCAAGCTCAGATACATAGTTGCAAGCTCAGTTACATGGTTGAGCTACACAGACAAAATCCTGATTTTTTTCAGATCATGCTTCTTCCGGACCCAATTGAAAAGACTTCCCAAAGCCAAAATTATCAAGGAAATTGAAATCTATGCAAACGCTGATTTCCCGGTAGGCGTAATGATTGGAATCCATCAGAACGACTCTCGCGAATGCGTCTACTACCACAAATGCAACAACGGCGTCGTTGTTCGCTATCTGAGAAATATCAAGCATTTGGTGTCGAATAATCTCAATTATCAGGATGTGGCACTTGACGATGTGTACAACTTTTTGAATGAATGGATGCAGCAGAGAGAATCGATTGAATTTTTGAAGATTCGTGCGGATTATATGGAGGCGGAGTTCTACAAGAAGCTAGATTCGAAATTCAGAGAGTTGTTGAAAGACAAAAATTTTGTGAGAAAATTGAATGTTGGGAATTTGCATTCGAAATTTACTACGTGTTTGGATATGGCTTCGATTTTCAAATGTGAGGAAATGAGAATTGAGATGAACGCATTGAAAGAAGACGCGTCGGAATATTTGAAGCAGGTTAGTCGGAGCTCGGTGGAGCTACGCGTTTGTTAGCTTACTTTCACTACATATTTGTCGACAGAGCTGCAGTACCGGTCAATAAAATACCATAGAACCTGTAATAGAAGTGCCCCCACACTTACAAGTTTGAGTTTGATTATCTCGGTTCCTGTTGAAGATACCAAAAATGTGTCAACTGACAAAATGTTTGGATATTATGATCAACAATTTACCAGTTGACAACTTTCTGATATCTTTCACAGGAACCGGGATAAATTTGATCAAAGTTAGCAGTTACGGGGCTCTTCTATTCCAGGTTGTACAGTATACAAAATCTTATTTTTCATTTGATTTTGACCATTTTCAAGAGTCTGGCAAGTTTACTATCATTTTGAAAATTTTGAAGGGTGTACCACAGACCTTGACCTCAGGTAAACGATTCTGAATTAGATCAGACTTCATTCGGAATTAGATCTGGGTTCGTTCGTAAATAGAAGTGGCATGATCTAATACAGAATTTAGCTGATGTAATTCCGAACACCGAATGAACTACGAACGAATTAGATCTAATTCCGAACAGACCAGCGGGATTTCGGAGCATCGTAGCGAGCGCTTTTCAAATTTTGTTTTCTTTTCAACGCCATTCACTTTATTTATAATAACATTTATTAAAAAAGAAAACAGAACAAGTATGAGAAAAAGAAAAACATTGATTAAAATGTAGATATAGGAAATCGGAACGAAAATGAGGGGTGTGATACAAATGAATGAATGGGATCAGCAAAAAAGAAAACGATGAGATCAGCGAGAATAATGGGACCTATGAGATAAGAAAAAGTGACAAAATTTATGAAAAAAAATCTCAATTCGAATTCTTCCGCTCGTCCATATTTTCGATTTTGAAAATTCTCTTGTCATAGTTTCCGGTTGTAGATAAGATGGATATTCTTTATGAAATGAATGTTGATTTAACTGAAAAAAGAAGTTTTCACGGCTTCCAAAAGTAAGGCCTTCTCGACTTGTGTAAATTGAGCTCACTATCAGAGAAATTTATCATCTCTTTTTTTTTTGTTTTTTCGGCGATCCCTTGCATCGTTTTTACGTAATCCTTTAAGCTGAAAAGGGCAAAAATTATCTTACCTGCAGAGTTTTCTTTGAATTTAAAATCTTCAAAATATTCGTATTTTTGTCGGTTCATAGAATTACTGTCTTCTATAGAAGTCGTATATATAAATTGAACTTTGATTATTCAGCTGTCCCTAAAAAAATTCACCTAAAATTTTGCAAAAACGTGCACAACACATTAAAATGTGTTCCAGAAAATATAGTTTTAATAATTGAGCGAAAAAAAAGACAAAAGTTGAGAGAAATACCCATTTTCCTGACGAAAAAAATTTAGGTCAACAAAAAAAAAGAAAACAATTCATCCGCGGCAGCTGAGTCATTGATGGCGCATTTCTCGTGGCAACTTCGGTATTAGATCTAGTCCAGATCTAATTCCGAATGAACTCAGATCTAATTCCGAATTTCGAGTTATTCGATCTAATTCCGAATGAACTCAGATCTAATTCCGAATCGTTTACCTGAGGACTGGAAGCTGTGCCTTCACAGAGTTTTTTGAAAATTCCTGGCTTTTCAGCTATTTGCCGATTCTCGTATTTTCACGCATTAAGGAGAAAACTAGGAATTTTCAAAAAATTATGTGAATGCAGTTTTTAAGTCGGGTCTTTTTTATATCCTCAAAAATGTTCGAGCTCGAAATCCAAGATCTCCTGAAAATGGTCAAAATCATCTAAAATCAACTGAAATTTATAAATGTTTCTATATCTTATTGATCGGTACTGTAACTGCGCGGTTGCATCCCACCAAAATCCTAAAATCATTGTTTCAGCTCTTCGAGAAAAATGAACTCAAAACCAAACTCTTTACCATTTCGACATCTCAAAAAATCTCTGAATCAATGAAGGATAAGTACAAGAATGTGATTGGAGATGAATTTCGCGATTTCCTTGTCAAATATGAGGAAAATGAGATTGTATTCACTAAAAAGGAAATGAAACCGTCCACTTCAAAACAGTCGACTTCTGGATCATCATGCGGTGGATGCTTTTCTAAGCAGACCGATTCTGGGCCGTCCTCTCCGAAATAGGACATATTTTTCTCTATTTTTATTTTGTGATTGTGTCAATGAAAAATTTCAGAGCTTATTATTAATTTGGATCTCCCTATCCACCGGTTTTTCCACATGCTTGTTTTTTTGTATCTCTTAAAATATTATTTTAGCCCCAAATCAAACACTTTTAGTAAGGTTCCGTTTCAAGTTTTTCATTTATGAAATCACGTGAAATTCGACACTTTTGATTAATCGAATTGCTCAAAAATAATTTGTTCTTACGGAAAATAATCATCAAAATAGTCAAACGTTTCGAAATCGAAAAAAAGTGAATCGTTAAAATAGTCAAACGTGGCAAATGAAAAATAGTAGAAATCATATTTCGTCAAAAGTTTTAAATGCTTCTAGAAGAGTCGGAAGTGTCGGATAACTTCGAAAGTTACGAAAAATAATCAGTAGTACTTTCAAACAGGCTGATTACAACGCTATTATTATTCTCCGGAAAGTCCAGAATCCAGAATCCGGAATCCAGAATCTAGAAACCAGAATACAGAATCCGGAATCCAGAATCCAGAATCCAGAATCCAGAATCCAGAATCCAGAATCCAGAATCCAGAATCCAGAATCCAAAATCCGGAATACGGAATCCGGAATCCGGAATCCGGTGGGAGAAGGTGTGAGAAGAACGAGCGAGAGAAATGGTCCGCAACATGACTCCTGGGAAGGACACACTCTCTCTATCTCAATTTGGTCAAGTTTTTGGAGGTGAAGATTAGTGGAAAATGACCAAATTTGAGTGTCTAGATCTGGCCTATTCGGCCTGAAAATCTTAGAGAAAATAGATTCTTAAGATTTCAAGCCAAACAGTGAAGTGCTAGGCACTTTGATATGGATCGATTAATTGAATTATCCTATTTCCAGATAGCAAATAACAAACCGGCCTGCAACGGTATGGCGGAAAAATTCCATCACAAATCCTGCGAAATTCAAATATGGGTATCAAATTCAATCATCAAATATCCAACAGACCCAAAATCAGGTCAAAACTTTTCGACTCTAACTCTGAGATTTTCCGAAGGAAAATACGAATCAACATTCGACATCGTAGGCTAAAAGCTCAACTAATTCTTCTCTATAAATTTTTAAATGGCTCCGCCTACTTTCCTAACCTAAATGCACATGTCAAACACTCCTCCTCCCCTCGTCGCCCTATGAACTTAATTATTGTTCAGCCCTACTCCTCTGACTATTTTTCTTCAATTGTTCCCCTGTGGAACGCCATCACTTCCCAAGTTACCCGATTTCTCCTACCTTCCGAGTTTGAATCCTTAATTTCTTCCAGTATTACCCGCTATTGATTTATTTGCTCCCTATTTTTTTTCTTTTCTCTTCTTATACTGGTTCATTGTTCCTGTGTCAAATATCTTAATTATCCCGTTTCCCCTCCCCTACTCAGATCGGCCTCATGAGGGGCATTCTTTCTGAGTCTTTCATGTCCTGCCCTCTATTGTTTCATTACCTGGTCAATAAATTAAATTAAATTAAATTAACATATGGGAAGCGTGATGGGGACTGTTACCTGGATATGATTCTACAGAACTTGACAATTTGGCCAGAATGTACAAATTGACACGTGAAGAGGTGAAAGCGAAAATTGGTTCTAATTTATTCGAAACCGTGGCAGTGGCCTTAAATTTCAGCTCAACCCATCATACCTATTTGAAATGATATCTCAAGTCATGTGTAAATACTATTACAGTATCCCCAGCTCTTTCTAATATCCTATTCTCCTGTTTCATTTGATGTTGGCTCCATTTTCCTTTTTTTTCGGAATTCTCTTATTATATCGGTCGTTTCCTGAGCCCCATCTGTCATTATTTTTTTTACCGAATAAACGAGTTCTGAAAAATTTCTAGGTTCTTTTGTTTCAATTGCTTATTTTCAGACAGTGTTAGATTTTAATTTTCTTCGATGAAAGTTGTCCACATCAAAATTGAAGCTCAGATTGATTTTTTAGACATGAACAATTTTTCGGGACTTTTGATCTACATTTTTTGATCTTCCTTTCCTGTGGGATTCTTTTCAAATTTCTTTCTTGAATTTGTCATCATTATTTCATCGCTGTTTCCTCGTTTTTCCTCTCTTTTTTTCGAATTTTCAATTAATGTTTCAAATCAATTCTTCCAATTTTCAGCTTTCTGAAGATGATACACCCATTCCGAACGGACAAGGCAAAACTGGAGGAGTATCTTCTGGAACTCTACAAAAAGGGATACACTATGAAACAAGCTTATAAAAGTGTCTGTCAAGTGATAAATGATGCAGAAACGATGGAAGGTTGGATTTCTGGAATTTTCTGAAACAAATTCAAGTTTTAGATGAGCAGAGTAAAAGTCAAGACGATGAAGAGGTTGCGATACCTTCAAAAAGAAAAAAATCCAGTTTGTCGGAAGAATCGAGTTCATCTTCGAAGGAAAATGAGACAACATCAGCGATGGCACGTCTTCTTTCCTATTTTGAGAGGAAGTATTCAATTGAAGGTAAAAAAATCGTTGCCGCCGGTCAGCTGCCGGTCAGCCGCCGGTCAGCCGCTGATTAGCCGCCGGTTAGCCGTTTATCACAAACCGAAAGCTCATTACTTCTACAAAATCCTGTGATTTTCAGAAGAACGAGCATCCGTTGACAGCAGCACCCGAAGCTCCTTAAACGATGCTCAAAAGAGCGACAGTACAAAAGCGTTCTCATCTGACGAGTCGGAAACCAGTGATGGAAGTAACAACGAGGAAAATTTGAAGCAAATTTATTGCCCGTCAGATGACCTCACAAAAGATGATCCGATTTCTATGATAGAAGTTGATAAATGTTTTAAAAAGGAAGCGGACAAAGAATTCAAGTTGATTGATAAGGAAAGACTGGAAGATATTGTGAAATTGTGAGTTTTTCAACCCGTCGGCCAGCCAGTCGCTGGTCAGCCGCCGATCAGCCGCCGGTGAGCCGCTGGTGGCCAGCAGCTGGTCAGCCGCTGATCAGCCGCTAGTCAGGCGCCGGTCAGCCACCGGTCAGCCGCCGGTCAGCCACCGGTCAGCCGCCGGTCAGCCGCCGGTCAGCCGCCGGTCAGCCGCCGGTCAGCCGCCGGTCAGCCGCCGGTCAGCCGCCGGTCAACCGCCGGTCAGCCGCAGGTCAGGCGCCGGTCAGCCGCAGGTCAGGCGCCGATCAGTCTCTGATCAGCCGCTGATCAGCCACCGGTCACCGCTTGATCTAGCGCTTTTGAAAGTTCAAAAGTTTGAAGCTTAAACCCCCCCCCCCTTTTTTCAAGCCCATTCCTCTTGACCTATTTCATTTTTTCCAGACTCCGCCTCCGCCGAATTTCAACAGCATGCTGTAAAGCTGCTGAATCATTAGAACTCCCAATAAAATCAATCAAATGGCTCACTGGCATTGAAAAATTCATTGAAATCGAAATTACGGATCTCCAAAATTCGACAATCAAAATCAACTACTCTAAGGAAGAATCAACCGAAGAGGAGGAAATTGTGAAATACATCCAAACTGATTCGGGGTATTTTATGAAAACGGAGGAGTTCAAAGTTGCTGCGGCTTGCGATTTGTTGTATCTTCTCAGTACTAAAAATGTGAAACTGGAGACGTTGAATTTTGATATTGAACCCTGTGACAAGGAGCACGCTGGATCGTTTCCCGAGCATGACACATTGAAGATAGTTCTCTCGCTTTGGTATCTCCACCTGATGGACAATGCTTCTATAAATACGAAAAAATTTGAATTCACAATTAGTAGAAAATGTGGCAGTGAGGAACGTTTGATGAACCTCCTTTATAAGTTTCTGAGCAATTTTGCATTCGGATATCTGGAAACCATCAAATTGAGGGTCTGGGAAAGTTTCGAAATGATTTCATCCCTTAATTGTGATCAGAAACTGGACAAGCCTTTCAAATTGGAAGAGAACGGTTGGAGCCAATGTGATCTGACAGTGTATCAGCAATGGTTGCAAGCAGTGGAGTTGGATATTCAAGATGACTTGTTTCAAAAGGATTGGGAGAAGTTTTGGCATTTCAAAACAATTCGATTGATGTCTCTTGGGGTTGACGATGTTGTGAAACTTGTTGAGGTGAGTTTTTGAATTTTTGAGCTAGGATTTCAAGCTACAAAGCTTGGCTACGCTGTCGAAGTTCTTAACCAATACATTTCCAGACTTACAACCAACACACTCCACATATCGGATCTATCATAACTGTCCAAACCGCTCATCCACTAGATTTGAAGGCTATCCGAACGAAACTGTCTGAAACGTCTGAAAAATTCAAAAAAAGAGATGCGGTGAAAGCGATTAATATGCAATTATTGATAATTGACTTATTCTGTAACAATTATTTTCACATTTTGTTCTTTTTTTTTGAATTAATTAGGCACTAATTTGGATAAACCATTATTTTTATGGCTCTTTATTGTTTCGATGAGGATGTTCTAATCTTTGTTTGTTATACTTTGTTGATCCTTCTTTTTTTAAATTTAAAACTTCAGAAAAAAAATTTTATCCTCGTAATGCCTCACAGTCATCTCCAGGACGCGAAATCTCTCGGAATATGTGGCAAATACGAATTTCTAAAGAGGAACTCATACATCAAAGCACATGTTAACCTTTTTGAAATGCTGAAATCCACTCGAAGCACTTATGGTAACGGCTGAATCCCAAAATTTAAATTCTCAAAAGAAAAATCGATTTTCAGACACCCCAAAAGCAACAAGGCGGCACGAGAGCACGAAAAAATGTACGAGCAACGATTCGGATCGGTCGAACATTGACGTTTCGTTAATTTATGAAGAATCCAACGGTGGTTATTTGGACCGAGAAATGGCAGATGCTTTTGAGGTATTTCATAAGGCAGAGTATTTGAAGAATCAGTCGGATAGGAATTTGAAAAGTGCGGATTTGGAGACGATTGTTGAAAATGCGGATATTTACAAGATGTGAGTTTGGGCCGAGCGCTTGATCGGCATCCTGTTAATCTGCGGCTAACCAGCTTCTGATCGGCATCTGATAAACAGCTGGCCAGTGGCTTATCGGCAACTGATTGATTTGGCGGCTGATTAACGGGTTATAGGCGGCTGGGCGGCCGCTGACTTTCAGCTTTGGTGGCCGAGTAGCGGCTTGTCTGCAACTAAAGAGTGGCAAACCAGCGGATGATCAGCGTCTGACCAGCGTCTGACCAGTGGCTTACCAACTGCTTACCGGCGGTTAACCTACAGCTGATCAGCGGTTGATCGACGGCTAACCAGTAAATCTCTAAAATTTCCAGATGGCACCTTCGATATTCCAGTCAAAAATTCTGCAATATCATCAAACAGAAACCAGCACCTATTAATGCAATGGTCGTCACCAGAGGACACGACAGGATTAAAACTGAAATGCACGTTGATCCAAAAAGCATGAAGCAAATGGAATATTGGCGATGCGACAGAGAACAATCACTTGTTTGGAGAGGTTATCATGCACAATTCGACAAGAAAAAGTTCCAGCAAAGAGCCGCTTTTGAGATATTCAGTTGTGTGGAGAAAACTGATTTGACGCATTTTGCTTTTAAAACGGAGAAAACGCATCCATGGAAAAAATCGGCCTCTCCGTTTTTCAAATTTTTCAAAATCCTCTGTCGTTGGCTGAAATCAAGTCTAATTACAGTAACGAGTTTTTCAATGGAACTCAGTTGGTTTCGCGATAATGATGTTGTGAATTTCGACCAAGTATCAATGATCCTGAGTCGTATAAATCCGGAATTCTTGAAAAAGATTAAATTTCGAAAGTATAGAGACGGCTATGTAGAAGATGCAACTCTGAAAATGCTCGGATGGGAGTATATATACAATTATCCACAATGGAAGAATGCGGTGGAATTGGATATCGATGATGAGAAGATTAGAATGAAAATGAAGGATTATATTCATTTCTGCAAAATTCGAATTCCATTGAAATCGAAGGATATTCGCAGTTTTTGTGAGGAGCTTGCCAAAAATCAACCAACCAAGCAACAGACCAAATTCATGGTTAGCCGTGATTTCGATTTTGAAGATGCTAAAGAAATTCTCAAGAAAAATAAATTCAATTTATTGCCAAATGGAAAATATGTTATAAAATTAAAAACTCAATTGTACATTTCCCTATTTCCAAATGAGTCGATGATCATTTATTATAACGAAAATGCACCGGCCAGAATGGATGGGAACTTTTAATATGGATTTTTTTGATTTATTTTTTTTTATCTTGTACTTTAATTGTTCTGTAATTTTAATTCGACCCTTATTTAGGATTGAATAAAATGTGCTAATTTAGGAGAATCAATGTTCATTTTGTCCCGTGAGAAGTTCCTTGAGATTCCTTCAAATCTATATTTTTTACTATTTCAAATTTTTCATTTATTGAATTTTTTTGACGTTTCGATGAACTTGTACATTAAACACAATCTAGCTTTTTGTTCTGAAAATCCAAGTTGTTGCCAGAAATCTAGCAAATTCTGTGACAAGTACCGTAGTCTTATCATTGCGCGTCAGTTATGGTGCGTCGTACGCAAAGCTTGAATATTGGCGCGAACTTTTTTAGCTCGCAGCACTTTCGATTTTCTCAGTTTTCAGTGCTTTGTCATCCATTTTGCACTGCTTTTTTTGACTTTGAATTGCATTAAAAAATTTTCATTTTTTTATTTTCTTATTTTCCAGCCTCTCCTAATGGTGCATGAACACTTTCTGGAAAAAGAATCGCGCGAGTTTTGTGCAGAATACGAATTTTTGAAAAGAAACTCTGCTAGAGGAGCTCATCGAAATGTTTGTGAGATGTTGATGTCGACAAGAGTACCAGTGTCCAAAAGTAAGAATTTTCTTTTCCAATCGATAATCGATTTTCTAAACATTTCAGAGATCAAGACGACAACTGCAGTGTTGAGGAAACGGCGAGAAGACTTCACAGAATCTACTGACACTGATTCTGATTCTGAGACACCGGATGAATGGTACAACGATCATGAAGAAAAGTTGAACGTTGATTATTCCATTGATCAATTGGAAACTGTTTTTGAGAAGTGTTACCGTGATGAGTTTTTGAGAAGGAATAATAAATCAGTGGATAACGAGAAGCTGATTGAAGAAGCTGGTGTAATGGAAAGGTATGGATGCTTGCCGACGCTTGCCGACGCTTGCCGACCGAGCTACACGAGAATAACTTCATTTTTTCAGATTGATTCTCCGAGATGCAAGTGCAAGGTATTGGAGACTTTTGGAATATGAATATGTTCTCAAATACTTTTCGATGAAGGTTCTAAGGGTCACAAGAGCCAATGAAAAAGTCAAGACCTTTTTTCTGGAATTCGGCACAGGAATTTCTTATAATTGGGAATATTGGAGATGTCAAGAAGACGGGAGGACAATGATTTGGAAAGGATACCATGCGAATTTCTATTCCTGTCGGAGGTTCCAACAATGGGCGTCACATCATATACATTACTGTTTTCAACGTGTAGGTTTTCAAAGATTAATATTCGAAACCGAAGAACGGAATCAATGGGATCCAGAAATCGATCCTTTCTGTAATTTTTATAAGCAACTAGCCAATCGATTGCAAAAAGCGGCAAAATTTTCGTTACCTACTCATGTTCGAAGTTTCGAGATTGAATTGAATTGGTTTGAAGATTCCGATGAGCATAACAGAATACAAACATGGCAGTTGTTGGAACACTTACATCCTGGAACTCTGAAATTTATCAAATTCCGAAAATGGATGGATACTATGGAGCATGGAAGGGGGGCAATTTTAACAATGAGCGGATGGGAAGAAATAATTGGATCAACTCAATGGAAAGCAGTAGAGGAATTGGACATTTTGGATGAAAATATAAATATGGAAGTGAAGGATTACATCAATTTCAATGTGGTTAAACTGCATTTGCAAGCTGAGAGAATTGTCATCTTTTCTGAACAGGTTTGTAACATGTTCTGCTTTTGATGCAGCTCTGTGGTTCTAGCCGACGCTTGCCAACGCTTCCTGATCTCCAGAAGCTTGCTGTTTTCCCTAGAAAATATGATTTTCAGGTAAAGAATCATATCAAAAAATCAAGGATCACATTCAACGTAAACGAAGAATTCGATTTCCACAAAGCTGCACAAATTCTGAGAGCACCATTCATAGAGATTATCCCTTCGAAATTCCTTCTGGACCACGGAAAAGATGTCTACATGCAACTATTCGAAAATGAGTCAACAATCGTTCTCACAATAGAACGCAGAAGAGTTGGCGCCTTTGTCAATGGGGTTACGAGACTAGCTGGACATGTATCAAATTGGTTTCATTGAACTTTTACTAAAAGTCTATGATATTCTTAATTAATTTTTCTAGAACATATTCCTATTAACTTTTTGATTTAACTGATAACTTGTTTATGTCTTATCATGTTCCTATGACATTTGTATATTCTCAATATCATTGAATATTTTTTCATATTTTTAAATAAATTTGTATTTGGAGTTATCCGAAGTGATCATCATCACTAAAAACATTCACCTGCCCTACACAAGTGTAGGTAGATTTATAAAGAAAAATTGTGCTTCAAAAGTGTAATCATTTCAACGTGTCGAAAAAAAAATTCTGGATGAAACAAAACTCAAATGACAAAAAAAAATAATTATGAAACTAAAAAAACACGTGAGATGGTATAGAAACCCACGTTGACCTCAGGCAGAATACAATAAAGGAAGAGAGAAATGAAGGGAAGGATCAGTTCTTTCTTTCTCTGGACTCCAGAGAAGGGAGCCGAAAGAATGGGTCCTGGGTCCTGGGTCCTGGGTCCTGGGTCCTGGGTCCTGGGTCCTGGGTCCTGGGTCCTGGGTCCTGGGTCCTGGGTCCTGGGTCCTGGGTCCTGGGTCCTGGGTCCTGGGTCCTGGGTCCTGGGTCCTGGGTCCTGGGTCCTGGGTCCTCGGTCCTAATTCATCCATCATCTAATAAGAAAAATCGCCTTCTGGTATCACAATTATGGAGAAGTGTTGAATAATCGACAAATTACTCTAAATACTTCTCCAATCGAGTTTTTCAGGTTTTCAGGAAACTTTGCAATGATCATTTATGTATTTTGTGATCTCGAAGCTTTTCTACTTCTTATTTTCATCATTGCAGGATTCAATACGTCACATGGTCTTGCTCTTTTCATTTTTACCCTGAATCAAAGAATAGTGTTTCCCAATTGTGTTTCTCAGTTTTTATTAAAACAAAGTTATATATTCCTTCACAAAATCGACGAATTTTCTTCAATTCGGAAGAAATTCGATGAAACATTACCAAAAAACGGCATCGCTAAAATACCGTCGAAAAACTGCGCGGCGCCTTTGCGAAAAGGGGCGGATAGCTCCGCCCCCTTGTTTACTTGTTTGTTTGTGTGTTCACCGGTGCGATCTTTTTGAATTGACAATAGCACGCTCTCCCACAGAACATTTCCGAACTGCAAATTAATTTTTGATCTAGAGAAAAAAAATTTGGCGCGATCACAATTGCAGGTCTAAAACCATAATTTCAGAATTTTTTATCTGATTTTGTGGAGTTCCAAGATGATTCAAATGATTTTTAAAAAAATAATAAGTGGTTATAGATTCATGTATGGTCGTTTTCCGGAAGAAAAAA